TACTTCCTCTTCCACTGCCTCAACATGCATCAACGTCGGTCTTCTTGCCCGTTGGATTACAGGTTTGGCCGACCTGTCGACGTTCAGTTTATGGCAAGTGACCTCAGGGTCAATGCCTGGCATTTCGTAAGGCGTCCAAGCAAATACTTCAATGTTTTCTCTCAATAAAGCCTCTAGTTCTTTGTTCCGCCAATTCATGGTTGTGGTCTGCGACGAAGTGAGTCACAGCATACTTTCCCCCTTCACCAGCATCCGCATCGTACCGTATGCGAAATTGGGCTTTGCAACCTACTCTTGTTAGTGCCTTGGGAGCTCTACACTTCTCAGCAACACGGTCCAAGCATTTTGGTAATCTCTGACCTTCCCTTGAACACAACCACAGCCTACTAACGACCTTCCCTCTTTATTTGTGTTAAATCTGGATTTTCGTATACTAAATCCCTTGACTTTAGCATACGCATTGTAGAAATCTTCTCTATCTTCGACCGAATCAAATTTCTGTTCCATAATAGCACGTTCAACATCACCAACCATGTCATTGCGATGAGCATCGTCAACCATTTCTTTTTTCACATCGGCTCTGCCATCTTCAACGTTCATGTTGGTTGCTTCTTCATTGCTCGGACCAGCTTCGCAACCATGATCAGGTTCTGCCCGACTTTCATTCATCAAACGAATGTCATCTGCTTCATTTGGAATGTCATAATCATCACCTTCCCTTTTAACTTCCGCTGGGGCCATACTGCACATGACATTACTACAAACAATTACTTGATGACCGAAAATTGTTAATAAAAACACAAACATGACATTTTCACATGGTTTACCTGTTTGTGCAAACACAAACACTCGCTTGAGAAAGAGAAAGAGAAAGGTTAGCTGCCAATGGAGGGGTTTCCGTTGGAGCGAAGCGTAGAGCGGTTGAAGTTAGAATGGGGTTTAGTTGAGGGAAAATAGCTGAAGTGAACGGGCCAGAGAGACAGAGAGGGAGACAGAGAGAGGGAGACAGCTCCATACCTCATATCTAGTTCGAGAGAAGGGCTTCACTTCAGCAATGGAACCAACACAGCCTTCTAGTTACGTTCTTGTTGGAAATCGCCCGTTATACTGTTCCCTACAGAGCTTCGTCAATGGAACGAACCCAACAGGGGCTTCTCCCTGTTAATGGAAATCAACGGTTACACTGACTCAACCTTACACAGAGAGGAGAACAGAGAGAGATAGAGACGAAATACAGAGAGTGAGTGGGATGCAATCATGCAAATACAAGCATTAACCGGTTGCCCCGGTTTCAACTTTTTCACGATTAAACAATTCAATAGTCTTGATCAATTATTGTAATCTAACGGCTAACAATTGGGTTGCATATGGTGTGCAATCTTAAGGGGGTTGCACACTTAAGCATGACCCTTCTATTTAAACATGAGATTAACCAGAATACGTAATCTAATCTTTTGATCTAATCCTCCAAGACAAACATAATCATCAAGTATCTACAGTCATTCCTCATTAAAATAGTCTAATGCTAAACACAATTTTTGTAACTACTCACTAGACTCTTTTTTTTCTTTTCTTTTCTTTTTTTTTTCTAGCCAAATTTCTGTAAAATGAATTTTGGATATTTATAAGTATTTGCAAATTATAGGAGAGTTGAAATCAAAATGTTTGATTTTTGTAAGTTAATCCAAAAATACTCGCTTAACCATTGGGTTATCCTTATTGATAAATTTAGTTATTCAAAATGTATGGATTAAATTTATTAGAAGGGGCATTTATTCATAAATTTTTCTTCACTTATTTATTTTCTATTTAGTTTAAATTATTTTTTTATATTCCAATAAGTCATATGAGTGACATAAATACAAAAATATCCCTAATAATAATATTTACATTAACAGCTTATTCTGTGATGTGAAATATTCACATTGCCAATGTGAATTTTCACACGTCAATATAAACATTCACACTGTCAAATATAAATGTTCACATTACCAAATTGCTAAGCATTCAAAAACTATTTATAAGGGTAACATTGTCCATAAAATACCTTAAATATGAAAATTAAGATTTGGTAGATCAAATATTCAAATATTCAAATAATAGGACTTATTAAAATACAAAAATATGTTATGGACTTTTTTTTTTTTCTTTCTTTTTTTTGATCGAGAAAATCAGCACAACAATTACATAGAATTGGAAGATAAGCACCTAACAAGTTCCATAGGTGGTTGGGCAACCCAATTAGGGGATAAAGTATTTCGTAAACATGCAAAAGCAACCCAATGCGCTGCCCAATTTCCATTTCTAGGACACCATTTAAAACCCAGTCGCTTGCTCGTGGCCGTCGATCTAATGTCACTCAGCACAGCAAGTAGGTCCCATGGAGGGACCCCTTATGTGATGGACTAATTGGGATACAAATATTTTAGAAATACGACATATATTACAAGAAAGTTGAAGTCATAATATATGCTTTCACTACAAAAAAAAGTTACTTTTAGCGACTAAAATATTGGTCGCCAATTGTCTGTTTTTGGTCGCCAATGACATTCTGCGACCAAAAATTTTAGTCGCTACGTTTGTCGCCAAAACGTTTTGCCGACCAAAAAACCTTTGGTCGCCAAAAAGCAAGTCTTTAGTGACCAAACTTTTGGTCTCCAATATTCAATTATATTTCTTTAAAATTATACATTTACCGACCAATGTTTTAGTCTCCAATAGTCAAGGAATCGCTGACCAACACTTTTAGTCGCCAAAAGCAACCAATCGGCGACCAACACCTTTAGTCGCCAAAAGCTTCAAACGTGAAAAAAAAAAAATCATTATAGAACAATTTGATCTGCATTCGTTCTTGCAAAGACTCGAACCGCCAACCTCCCACATCATAAATCTTATGCACCACACTTTTTCCACTAAGCCTCTATAACACCACTTGATTATATATGTGACATATATTATTTATATAGTACATACATCCATATTGATATAAAAGTATATATATAAACATAATTATTTTATTGAACATAATTTATGTAAAATAAACTATTTAGTAGCAAAATTAAAAAAAAAGACCACTTTTGGCTACTAATTGTTTTTTAGTCACTAAAAAACTTAACTTTTGCCGACCAAAGTCGGATTTGGTCGCCGAATATGCACTTTCAGCTACCAAAATTTTGGTCCAAAAAATTTAATTCCCGCCTTAGGATTTTTGTTCTCTCGCGCTAAAAATGACGACTTTTGGCAACTAAACTTATTTTCTTGTCGCCAGTTGTAGACTTGTGGCTACTAAAATTTTTTTTGTCACCAAAAAGCTTTACTTTTGGCTACTAAAATTTTTTACTCGCCAAAAAGCTTTACTTTGGGCTATTAAAAATTTTTTAGTTACGAAAACCCATATAATCAGCAACCAAACTTAGTTTTAGTCGCCAATTGTAGCCTTTTGGCTACTAAAATTGTTTAGTCGCCAAAAAGCTTTACTTTTGGCTACTAATGCCCGAATCGAGTCACACGGTCGACGGTTCCGAAAACCAGAAACTGAGCTCCAAACGAGCGAAATGGCCTACGACCACAAAACGTAGCCTACGGCCACTGAGAGATGATCTACGGGACCTCTCCCTCCCTTCGCGAAGAGAAAACAGAGAAAATCGAGCCTGGTTCGTAAACCGAGGCAAAGCACAAAAGAGTCCGGAAGCTCGGAGGCAAGGCTCACGGCCAAGACTATGAAATTTCTAAACGAGCACAATATGCAGTATCACCGAGCGCTCAGCTGGTGACGTCTGAGTCTCAAGGTCGGTCAAAAATGGGGTGTCTACATGCACATTCAGGAAAAAGCACATTCAGAAATTTATTTCAGGAAAAAACACATTCGGCGACTAAAAAAGGATCAATAGTATCATCAGAAAAATATATGCCTCACATATTAAATTTATTTCAGCCAATTAAATCATATTGTACTGGCTAAAATAAATTTACTTTAAAGTATATATGATTTTTTCGCTTGTTTTAATGTTTTAATTCACAATAATTGTGAGGCATATATTTTTCCAAATCAACACATTCTAAAATTATTAAAATTTTAAATTAAATTTAAACAATTTACTATTCGACTTGTTTAATAGTCCTAGTTCTATGTTTGTCGTTAGTACTCATTTCAAAAATAATATATATATATATATATATATAGAAATAGTGCAAAAATTGGAGTTTTCTAAATGATACTAAGAAAAAGGTTGAGACCTCATTTTTCCTTGACCCCCACCACTCCCAATGTATTGGGATTGGCCAACTTTTTGTTTTTTATTTTTTTATTTTTTTTTTCTTCTATCACTCACTGACATGTGTTTGTGGAGATTGTGAAAGTCAAGGAAAAAAGGTCTCTGTCATTTCTGAAGATACTATTGATCCCACCAAAAATGAACCAAAATGGATGCAAAACGGAGGTTCGGGGACCGAAACGCGCGGCCTGGGGCCCTGAAAATGGGCTGTTAAGCACCGGAGGTGGCATTCGACCATGAAGTTGGTCTCTTGGGCCACAGTGTTCCTCAAAATGGAGGAGATAAGGTGTATGCCAAAAACCGGAGCAAATGGAGGTGGTTAAGCGGTCCTGAACTGAGGCACACGACCGACGGCTCCGAAAAACTAGAAACTGGGCTCCAAACGGGAAAAATGGCCTACGACCACGAAACGTAGCCTACGGCCACTGAGAGATGATCTACGCGACCTCTCCCTCCCTTCAGGAAGAGAAAACGGAGAAAACGAGACCTGGTTCGCAAACCGAGGCAAGGTACAAAAAAGTCCGGAAGTCCGGAGGCAAGGCTCGCAGCCGAGACTCTGCAACCTCAGAACGAGCACAATGTGCGACATCACCAAGCGCTCAATCGGTGACGTCTGAGTCTTAAGGTCGGTCAAAAATGGGGTGTCTACAGAGGTTAATTGATAGTGACATGTCAAAACAAGCCATGATGCAAATACATGGGCCATTTTAAGAATTAATACATGTAATTAGGATAAGTAAAACACAAAATACAAATATAAATAGAATATAAATATTTACGTTGTTCCACCCAAAATAAGGTTATGAGTTATAATATAAGACAGGAAAATGCAACACTTCAATTGTAAATATATATATGTATATATTTTGAGTAAACAGTTGTAAATATATAGAATTGAAGTAATGTGGCAGAATTGTAAAATACCAAAAAAAAATCCTTAATACCGTTTCTTCTTTGCAAGGATCCATACTACCAAACAGATCACTCTTATATGATATAGTATTTATGGCAACGCTTTTAGATTACTGTTGGATAACTTTGTTAGTTCTTTATTTTTTTGTAAACATGAAACAAAAAGTATAAAAACTTTGAAATCTTCATTAATTCAGAGAGGTCATCTATTAATTACAACTTTGAAAATTTTCTTTTGGATGCCTTTTAATTTAAAATTTTACAACTAACCCCGTTAAGTATTTATTTATTTTTAAGTTTTTCATGATCACTGGATGAACAATGACTTGGTTGTATTCTAAGATCTCATGGAGACAACCAACCTTTGTGAGTGTTATATGCAACAGAGTATGTAATAGCAGTGGAGTGAACCTCTATTTGTTTCGACGGAAAATATTTTAATGGAAGTCATAATCAACAAAAAAACAAGCTTATTAAAGTCTTGCCAATGCCACCACCACACTACCACTAATATATTAGTTTCAAGTCACAATTAAATATAAAAAAAAATTACTCTCTGCTAAAACAAACTGTGAATACAATGAGAATACTAGAGAATGGAGAGACCATTGCTAGGTCTCCATCATGTCGATATATATGTAAATTCTTCATACTTCTCTAATTGAATTCTGTGCATATGAACATGTTGCAACAAGAAACTTATTAAGCTTTCAAATTGTACATGGTATCAAATCTAACTAAAAGACCTTGAACTTCTAAAAGAGGAACAGGTTTATAAAACTTAACCCAGTAAATGAAAAGAAATGTTGTAGTCTTTCACAACAGTATAGATTTTTATTTTTTTTAAACAGGTTTTGGGGCATATAATTTGCATCAATACAGTGTGTTTCTATCGAGCATTTAACAGACTAATGGTCACTTCATTGGCTGAAGAACCAGCAGCCTCAAGAACATTCCTTTCAGTGAAGAAGCCAGGTTGTTTGGCCTGAGGCAATGCACCTTCACTACCCAACATCAGAACCACAGATGACATGCTTGGCCTATCCTGTGGATATTGTTGCACACATAAAAGACCCACATGTATTGATTGCAACACTTCAGTTAGGTAACATGAGTCCCATGTAGCCTCATCAATCAATTCCAATGATCTACCTTCTTTGTAGAGTCTCCATGCTTGAATAGATTCTCACACAATCCAACAATTGTGAATGTTTTGGAATAGCGAGAAAAGAGGGATTTAAGACAGAATCATATAAGAATACTTCTAAACTCAGTACACTTACATGACCAAGGAGGTTGAGGTGGTGATCTGGATGATAAAAACCTTTATTTTTCTTCCCACTTACAATCTCTAGCACCAAAACGCCAAAGCTGAATACATCTGATTTTATTGAAAACAATCCATCCACTGCATACTCTGGAGACATGTAGCCACTGCAAAAAAATGTTGAATGAAGAACTAGATTTTGAAGCAATAGACAAAACATGTTGTATTGATTCTTACTATGTTCCGACCACTCTGTTTGTATTTGCTTCTGTCTCATTTCCTCGAAAACTTCTAGCCATTCCAAAGTCGGATATTTTTGGGTTCATGTCAACATCTAGCAAAATATTGCTAGCTTTGAGATCTCTGTGAATAATTCTCAGTCTGGAATCTTGATGAAGATAAAGAAGCCCTCGTGCAATCCCATTAATAATGTGGAACCTCTTTGGCCAATCCAGTAATCCGCTTTGGGTTTGATCTGTCCAAATGTTTGTCTGTTAAATGCTCCCAAATTTTGGAAGATCAAGTTCATGCAAATGCACAAGTAATAAAAACCACATACAATTTTGGTCCCATTATGAAAAATCTAAAGGTTTATATGGAACCAAAAAGAATAAAAATAAAAATAAAAAGAGGAAAAAATAAAGAAAGATCATTGCCTGGCTTGAGAATGGAATGGTTGTGATTATACACAAGGTAGGGTAAGTTATACTAACCTGCCTTTACATTTGAAGAAAATACATCGATTTTCACAAGTTTGACATAATTACCTTGGGCTCCTTTATGGTTTTAATTCATACAATATTTTGCCCATTTTCATAAAAAAAAATTCATTATTCATATGGATAAAAAAATGGCAGTAATCTCTTTTACACCGAAACGTATATTTTGCCTTGTTTATCCCTACTACACACCATCTATATTAATTTTGATCTTTTTAGCTTTACTAAGAGGGAGATCAATGTAATTATGTCAAACTTGTAAAGCTTAATGTATTTTTTTCTAAACCCAAGGGTAGTGAATGTAGTTTACCCTATATAGTATTATAGTTTCTAGAGAGCCCAACCAAAAATGAAGTAGTCCAGGCTTTTGTTGGGCATGTATTCGTAGATCAACATCTTTTCTTCTCCTTGAATGCAGCATCCTAGAAGTTTCACAAGATTTCAGTGTTGAAGTTTGGCAATACAGATAACTTCATTCTTAAACTCATCAAGCCCTTGGCTAGAATTCTTTGAGAGCCACTTCACGGCTATTTCTTGTCCCCCTTCTAGCATACCCTGAGAATTACCATTGTAGAATGTTCTTATGTTTGAAATTAAAAGAAAACAATTTTTACCAGTGATTTATGTTACAACATTACCAAATACATACTTAAAGACATAATTACACCAAGGTTGTCTAACAAGGTTAGGGCAGTGCATGTCCTACTTTGGGTGGGTGAGTCTGGATAGGTGGATGGATGGAATTTTCAGATTTAGAACTTCTGTTCAAGATTTAGAAAATATTGCCTTTTTCCCATCATTCCTAAGCAAAAATCCAGTCTCAATCATATTTCATTAGAGCAAATTCAATGATAAACTTCTCAAAAGCAAGTGTATTTGTCAAAATTTTTAATTCATGATGGTGGGTTCTGCATTAAAATATTTTAGGGAAATATTAGTATAGGAATATGAAAAAATTTCAGAAAGATGCGGTCCCGTACTTCACCAAAATGAAAGCAGTGTACACTTTACTGTGAAAATTTTTCATGTTAGAAACGTACTGTTTATGGAAAGAAGTGACAAAAAAAAGTTGAATGGTTTTATTGTTTCCTCATAGGCTGGATGAGATTGGGTGTTGATCACATTTGTATAGATTACATAAGAGTCTTTACATTGGTACCTTGTAAACAGGCCCGAATCCACCCTCTCCAAGCTTATTGTTGATTGAAAAGTTATTTGTGGAATTAGCTATTACTGTTAAGTCAAACAATGGTAACTCCAGATCATCATTCTGGCTTTTGTCAGTGTAACCTTGTTTAGAGTTTTGCATCAGATTTCCTGCAAAGCGGGGGCAAAATGGATATAAAGGATGAGACAACTAGTTCCACCAAAGTAATTTCATACCATTACAGAGTTTACCACAGAATGACACATCTATACCTTCTCTGTTCAGCTGTGAATTCTTCCTTTTCTTTTTCCGGAGATAACAGGTTAAGCTCACACCCAGCAGAAGAAGTCCAATTAATAATGCCAAGCTCACTGCCACTATCTCTTGAAGATAAAGAAGCCCTCGTGCAATCCCATTAATAATGTGGAACCTCTTTGGCCAATCCAGTAATCCGCTTTGGGTTTGATCTGTCCAAATGTTTGTTTGTTAAATGCTCCCAAATTTTGGAAGATCAAGTTCATGCAAATGCACAAGTAATAAAAACCACATACAATTTTGGTCCCATTATGAATAAATCCAATGGTTTATATGGAACCAAACAAAATAAAAATAAAAATAAAAAGAGGAAAAAATAAAGAAAGATCATTGCCTGGCTTGAGAATGGAATGGTTGTGATTATACACAAGTTAGGGTAAGTTATACTAACCTACCTTTAGATTTGAAGAAAATACATCGATTTTCACAAGTTTGACATAATTACCTTGGGCTCCTTTATGGTTTTAATTCATAAAATATTTTGCCCATTTTCATAAAAAAAAAAAATTCATTATTCATATCGATAAAAAAATGGTAGTAATCTCTTTTACACTGAAAGGTATATTTTGCCTTGTTTATCCCTACTACACACCATCTATATTAATTTTGATCTTTTTAGCTTTACTAAGAGGGAGATCAATGTAATTACGTCAATCTTGTAAAGCTTAATGTATTTTTTCTAAACCCAAGGGTAGTGAATGCAGTTTACCCTATATAGTATTATAGTTTCTAGAGAGCCAAACCAAAAATGAGGTAGTCCAGGCTTTTGTTGGGCATGTATTCGTAGATCAACATCTTTTCTTCTCCTTGAATGCAGCATCCTAGAAGTTTCACAAGATTTCGGTGTTGAAGTTTGGCAATACAGATAACTTCATTCTTAAACTCATCAAGCCCTTGGCTAGAATTCTTTGAGAGCCGCTTCACGGCTATTTCTTGTCCCCCTTCTAGCATACCCTGAGAATTACCATTGTAGAATGTTCTTATGTTCGAAATTAAAAGAAAACAATTTTTACCAGTGATTTATGTTACAACATTACCAAATACTTACTTAAAGACATAATTACACCAAGGTTGTCTAACAAGGTTAGGGCAGTGCATGTCCTACTTTGGCTGGGTGTGTTTGGATAGGTGGATGGATGGAATTTTCAGATTTAGAACTTCTGTTAAAGATTTAGAAAATATTGCCTTTTTCCCATCATTCCTAAGCAAAAATCCAGTCTCAAACATATTTCATTAGAGCAAATTCGAAGATAAACTTCTCAAAAGCAAGTGTATTTGTCAAAATTTTTAATTCATGTTGGTGGGTTCTGCATTAAAATATTTTAGGGAAATATTAGTATAGGAATATGAAAAAATTTCAGAAAGATGTGGTCCCATACTTCACCAAAATGAAAGCAGTGTATACTTTACTGTGAAAATTTTTCGTGTTAGAAACGTACTGTTTATGGAAAGAAGTGACAAAAAAAAGTTGAATGGTTTTATTGTTTCCACATAGGCTGGATGAGATTGGGTGTTGATCACATTTGTATAGATTACTTAAGAGTCTTTACATTGGTACCTTGTAAACAGGCCCGAATCCACCCTCTCCAAGCTTATTGTTGATTGAAAAGTTATTTGTGGAATTAGCTATTACTGTTAAGTCAAACAATGGTAACTCCAGATCATCATTCTGGCTTTTGTCAGTGTAACCTTGTTTAGAGTTTTGCATCAGATTTCCTGCAAAGCGGGGGCAAAATGGATATAAAGGATGAGACAACTAGTTCCACCAAAGTAATTTCATACCATTACAGAGTTTACCACAGAATGACACATCTATACCTTCTCTGTTCAGCTGTGAATTCTTCCTTTTCTTTTTCCGGAGATAACAGGTTAAGCTCACACCCAGCAGAAGAAGTCCAATTAATAATGCCAAGCTCACTGCCACTATCTCTCTTTTCTTTCCATTGAAGCCAACTTGTTGGACTGTTGAATTTTCAATCCGTTTAACAGAATGGTCAATTCAGTTAGATAATACAACAATGAATGCACAAACTTAAAGGGGTTGCTCACCATCCTATTTATTGAAACCATTATGGTTAAGGCGATGAGAAAAAGCTAAAACATAACAAACACATAAGCATACAAGGATTTACATAGCATGAAAAGAAATCAATGTCCGAGATAAAGCAAAAATGAAGTCTCATTTTACAAAGCTATAGCAAGATGTAGAATTCTAAACATAGTGAGGATTGTTTTCAGAAAAAAATGTAATTGTTCAGTATAATTAACTATATGGATATTACATATGTACAATCTAATTAATCCAAGTTCACTAATCTCTATGTTTGATATGAATTCTTACCTAATTCAGAGGAAGCCATCCTTATGTAAATGTCTTGCCCATTATCACTGTACTGTCTCATATCAATCAACTCATCAAACCAAAGCAAGCAGCCACTTCCACCTCCGCTTATGTCTAAACTTGTGTAAGCCATGCATGAGCAGTTTTTCAAGCACCGCATCTCACATTCCCTTAAGGTCATGCTCTTGTCAAACCAGGAGTACCGTGTGTCCGGCATTTTATAGTGCGAATACTTGAGAAAGCCATCTCCATTATGGCAATCTAACATTGTCCTCCGAACACACCCATTAGACCAATCTCCACTTATCCATTCTGTTTGGTTCTGGGGCACAAATTTACTCAAACAATCACATAGCGGCGACTTTCCAATGTTACAGTTACCATTCGGGCCACAGAGTTTATAGGTATCACAAGCATCTGTTGGTGCAGACCGGTAAATGACCCATTCCTGGCTTCGATCAACCCATGTCCAGCGCTGTGCAACGCCATTCTGATTCAGAGTAAGCCTTGAAACAACTGAGCTGACGAGTTGATAATGAAAATACACCTCCTCCTTGGTGTAAACCAATTCATATGTGTAGATGGGATTTAGTTTAAGGTTTAGATAACTGAATCCGAGGCCATTCCATGGTCCAGTTCGGAACACCTCAACAGAACCACAGCTCATAATAATTTGTGGGTATCCTTGAGGATCACACCGGTATGTACACTTACCTCGAGCTGGATCATCGCTGCTCTTCCAGGACGAGAGCATGCGATCTATTCCCGTTACAAAGTTCTTTCCGTGCTTCATGCCTGGTAAAAGAGTATCGCATGGATAATCAAAACTTTGCCACAAAATATTATTATTGGCATCTTTCACCACAAGATTTCCTGACTCCATAAGTTGTGCAACTGGTCCTGTAACATTGGGAGACCAAATGACACTGCCGGTACCATCGACAAGGGCAAGAATTCCAGGGTCGATTATCGTTAAGACGCCTGACGAATTGACGAGTGGGATTTCTCTGTTGGCAACCCATACAACAGTCTGGACAGATATTTTCTTGTACCATATTCCCAAGTATGTATTCCCGGAATTGCCCGGGCTGAAAAAACCCATCTCAAAGCTTCCACCAGATGAAACAATGGTATTGTTGCCTGTAACAGATTGGGTTTTGGTTATGATGTCTACTGCGTTGGAGATTATTAAGATGGAAAAAAAAGAGGAAAATAAGAAAGGTATTTTGAGGCCTTCCATTGATGGTGTAATGTCTAATTCATGAAATTCATCTGTTTTTATAAATGAATGCTCAACAACTCTTACAGCACAATTATGTCTTCAGCTGGGCTTTTGTATGGATACTGACTTTCTACCCTTCGGTTAGACTTCGGAGTCAAGAAGTCTTGGAATTCCACAGCCATATAATTCTTACTAGCGGTAACCGTGCTATGCACGGGCAAGTAACAAAAAATGATAAATAATGTTGAATATGTTAAAAATTAACAATTAAATACTATGATATTTATTTAGATGGGTATTGAAATAATATATTTAGTGATCTTACTATATTTAATTAAATAAATTTTAGAAGAAAAAAAAGTTGAACTGAAAATTAAGAGTAAAAGTGGATTCTGTAAATATAAGATATAGATAAAAACAAATTAAGTTTAAATTTGAAGATAAACTATAAATATATATATATATATATATATATATATATAAGAAAATTAGACAAATCCTAGAAAAATGAGGGAGAGAGAAATTCAGTAATTGAAAAAAAAAAAAAAAAGTTGAAATTTAAAATTAAAAAATAAGAAAAGACAAACTTGAAAAAAAAAATAAATCTAATATAACTCTAATTACAGAAGAAATGGAGAGGGTAATAATTAAAAAATTAGATAAGAGTGAAATGCCACTTATAATTTTTTAAAATTTGTAAAAAAAAAAAACTAAAATAAAGTCGAGGTAGTATGTTAAAAATCAGATAAGATTTAAGTGCCATTTATAATTTTTTAAAATTTAAATTTTGTGTAGTTAAAAAATAAGCAATTATGTTATCTTATTATACAAATTTTAACTTTATTTTGTGTCTACTACCTATAATTTAATCAACTTTTGTCTTCTAAAGCTACTTAATTGAAATAAGAAAGAATAAAAAATTATAAGAATATAGAAAGTGAAAATCAGATAAAAATAGAATAAACTTAATTAAAAATCAAAAGTAAGAATCGATCTTGTAAATATAAAATAAAGATTTAAAAAAAAATCAAATGCAAATTTGAAGATAAATTATATGAATATAGAAAGAGAAACTTAGATAAATTGCAAAAGTAAAAGAGAGCAAAAAACACAATATGAGATTTAAAACATGTGCTTCTTTTCACATAAGATGCTAAAAATCTTGCATAATTGGTTAAATCACCCGTTTAATTTCTTTAGAACGTTATTTTTGTTCTCCAATCTTTTTGCCTAATTTCATATTGTCATAGAAGTTAGGTTTTGAGATTTATAAATTTATTTATTTATTTATTTCAAATATCCTTGGGTAAGACATAAATTGATGAAGAAATTTGAATTAGAGTCAAACTCATCTTTTATTTTTAAACATTTTAAAAATCTTTTATAACCATGCCATAAGTAATTAAAAAGTGAAATAAAAAATATAAAAAAAAGATAAGAAAAACAGGAAAATAGAATGAGAGAAGAATGAATGTGCCACGTAGGAAAGAGGTTCATGAAATGTTAGGATTGAGAGTTTTGATGAAGAAATTTGAATTAGAGTCAAACTCATCTTCTATTTTTAAATATTTTGAAAATCTTTTATCTTTAAATATTTTGAAAATCTTTTATATCCATGCCATAAGTAATTAAAAAGTGAAATAAAAAATATAAAAAAAGATAAGAAAAAATAGGAAAATAGAATGAGAGAAGAATGGATGTGCCATGTAGGAAAGATGTTCATGAGATGTTAGGATTGAGAGTTTTGAATTTTTTAAGAGATCACTACATTTGCTTATATATATAGTATAGATCTGAATCATATTCGCATGAATCGCATCTTAATCATGGCATCATATTGAAAATTTGGATTTTCACATACCATAATTACTGCACTCTAAGGCCCCGTTTATTTTGGGTCACTACAACAATTTATACTTTTGGCGACTAAACCTTTTTTAATCGCCAAAAGTTGTAGAATAGGCTACTAAAATTATATTGATCGCTGTTGAATTCGATTTTTAGCTACTAATTTTTTTAGTAGCTGTATCTTCATTATTAGCGACTAAACAAAAATTTAGTCACTAAATATGAACAATAGGCGACTAAAAATTATTTTAGTCGGCATTAGATCATGTTTTAAGCTACTAAAATATTTGTTAGTCGTGGTATACCAATTTTTGGCTACTAAAATAAATTTAGTCGCCAAAAACCTAGCATAATTAAACTTTGGCGACCAAAGTTTTGGTCGGCAAATATTCATTTTCGGTGACGAAAAATTTTTAGTCGCTGTAAGGTAATTTTTGCCTACTAAAATTATTTAGTCACTAAATAAAAAACATAAATTTTACTTTTATCTTTGGTGACGAAAAATTTAGTCGGTGAATATTTCTTTTCGGTGACCAAAATACTTTTAGTAGCCAAAGTGGTTAGTTTTCGTGACTAAAATATTAGTCGTTGTTTGTTAAATGTTGGCTACTAATTAAATTAGTTGGTATAATTAACCTTTGGCAACAAACAAGAAGTTTGGTCGAAAAAGGTATATAAAATTTTAGTGGGAACATTAAAAGAATGGCACCGGTTCTTCTTAGCATTTTTGAAAACAGGGTTCTCTTTTCTCTCTCACACACACAACCACACTACAAGAAATTGCATTTTTCGCAACGCAACAAAATATGTTGCTAAAAGGGAAAATTCATCGACAAAGAGTTTTGTCGACACACCACGCTACATTGGCAACCCGTAGGCAAAAGTGAGTCGGCAAAAGTTTTTGCCGACGAAATTATCATTGCATTGGTAAAAGTAATGCCTTTAGCGACGAACATAGTCGTCGATAAAAGCCTTCATCCATCGTCGACAATTTACCTTGCGCCAGTAAAAGTCATTCAAATATGATGATTGTGTGACTTTTCGCGACACAAATTTGCATGGGCAAAAAATATCGCAAAAAATACACTTTTAGCAACATAATATGAGTGGGCAAAAGTAAACTTTTAGCAACACATTTACGTCGGTAAATATTGCCATTTGCCGACGATTTGTTTGTCGATAAAGGTTTACTTTTGGCAACGACAAATTCGCATTGGCAAAAACTATACTTCTAGCAACACAATATGAGTGGGCAAAAATAAACTTTTGGCGCCACATTTACTAACAAAAATAATTGAAAATAATTTATATGCTTTTATAATATTTACAGATTTACAAGAGGCATCTCTCAGGCACCAATATTACAAACTAATAACATTGATATGAAATCACCTAAAGTTGATGTGCAAGCAAAAAAAACACTACTGATACTGCTTTTAGAAGCAATATATAAAACGTAAAAGGATAAAGTCACTAAAATACCCAAATACATCCAAATTGTGAATCCATAATAGAAACAACAGATAACAAAATAAAAATGTGAAACTAACAAAGAAAGGCAAAGCGGCATGAAAATCACCCACAAACTTATCCAGCAGACCAACATCTAATAGCAGCCGCCTCACAGCAACATTACAGCAGCAGCAGCCCAGCAAGTATCAGTATAATGCTCCCATAGATGAGTACAAAGCCATGCTCCACCCATTTGCCATAAAGCCTAAACAGCCTGACCTCAGTCAGGAGATGTTTTTGCCCATATATCTGACACCTGATGTGCAACCCAACCATTTGCTTCATAGTTCACCTGTAACATTCTGTGACTAAATAAAAACAATAGTGTTTATAAAGAATATAGAATGCTTAAATAGAACAATTTATCATGGAAAACACTAATCACAGAGTTCATCCTGGGTCCTAACCTACCTAACTACTTTGATGTACAAATTTTATATGCATACATACATATTTTATACTTATTCAGTCTTTCAAAAAAAAATAAAAAATACTAAGCTCCAAATGATGGCTTGCAGAAAAACAAATATACATATATACATGATACCACTTGTGATCACACAAAATGAATAAAACAACAGTTCATAAGGACCGTTAATGTTTGATAAGTGAAAGATATTCTTACTTTGGCAGTTTTACTTCCATTGACTGACAGAGACAAAATGTAATCAAACAAGGGCTCCTGGCACTCATGAAGGTTGCATGGAAGGGAGGGCCAATAGTTTATTTAAAGATTAATATTCAAGTGTTGAGCGCCACTGGAGAGTTAAAAAGGAAAAGGTCACATCAGTAGATACAAAAATACTTATGCTTTTTTTTATCAACAGGAGGCAGAGAAATTATGCTACATCAGAAGACTAATATAAAATGAAGTACAGATTAAAAGGCAATATTGCTATTTTTCTGGCTTAAAAATTCTAGCCTTGTTTGGTTTGTTTCTCAAAAAAAAATTTTGGGAAAAATTCTCTACAAATAAATTTTCAAGAGTAATCAAACCAAACAAATTTTTTCCAAAAAATCTCAAAATTTTGTTTGGTTACATACTTTTCAAAATCACTCTCTCTCTCTCGTACACATCAAATCAATCACTTTTTTTAAAACTCTCTCCTCAAAACAATTTTCCAAAACCATTTCTGAAAAAAGACAAACCAAACAAGTTTTCGTACTTTTTATCTCAAAAACTACTCTACAAACACAAACCAAACACACCCCTATGTTTCCAACTCTCTCCCATCTCTTAGAAGCTAATTTCTTAAAGGGAAAGAAAAAAAGAAAGAAGATTTCACTATGCACTTGCATCAAGGAGAAAATTACAAGATACCATGCACACACAGAGAGAGAGAGAGAGCTTTCTCCCATGCTGGCTCAATATCCCTATTCCATATTCCCTGCAAGTTTGCCACTTGAGTTCCAGGCCATGAACAGGAAATAAGTAGATATCGACCATACCGGAACAAAAGCTCCACTAAAGAGGGATCTTCATCAGTTTGAAAAGATTTCACCCTCTCTGCAGTTGAAACCATCTTATCTTCACTATTTTCTAAAAACAGATCAGTTGCAGAGGACAAATGTTTCTTCCTATCCAAACACCCATTTTCTCCAACATTCTTTGGGCTTTTCGAAAGCTGCAGTGAGATGCGATGAAAAAGGTTTTGATAGTCAACCAAATGCTGTGAATAAAGATCAGCATATGACAAGTTTTTAATTAAATTGAATTTGCTTTGAGACTCTGAAGTAGGATCTTTTTTTCAATCTGAAGGTTTAGTGAATGGCCCATCAAATGAAGATGAAGCTACGAGAAGCATAACAGCCCAATCTGAACCCTCATTCTTCAACTTATTGTCATCCAAAACATTTATAGTACCCACGTCACTAATCTGAAAATCAAGAATTGCAGAAAACTGAATACCCTTTGGATTGTCGTTTTCATTCAATTTCGGCGGAATTCTTTTACCGGGGCAACTTCCTTCCATGATAATCTGATTTTTACCATTTACACTCGAATGATGATGTGGTTTGCTGTCTAGAGATACCATAAAGGAGAGAGACCCTGATTTGCTTCCTGAAATCTTTGTCACGATCACTTGATCAGGATTTGAGGCAAAATGTTCCTTCACGAATTCAACTTCACCTGCAGAATATTTCACTTTCGTAGTTGCAGTATCCAAGTCCAGTACTCGTGAATATGTTTCTTCAATATATGAAGCATGAGAATCATCGAATTCTAGCTTGATATCACCCAGAAGTTGGTAAACCTTCACATCATCATAGGACAATTACAAGGATACAGGGGTAAAGACTATAGAAAATATGAAATTGCACGAAGGATCAGGAATACTACCCATATAAACACTGCATACCTGGTAAACAAAGCTTGTGCATCAAATATAACACAATGTCAATTACAACTCAGATGCAAGCTTGCTTTAATGGATGTAGAAAGGTCCAAATTAACCAAATTTCATGTAAATATCTCTTGGTATTTTATTTGAATCACCTTGGGTGTTCTAATTTTGTTTGTAGATGCTCATTGAAAACTTTCCCATGTACAATGGTGCAAATCCACAACTATATGAGCTTTACAAGGAGATTGTTTAAGTGAAAAACTGAAACAGAACATAGCCAGTTTGCATAAAGTCCAATCATCCAATTATTGAAGTTTAACCACAGAATTAGTGGTGAATGCTCACCCACCAATAACAACATTGACAAGGCCCAAGGTTTGAATCCTGTTTTTGGATCATGGATTTGGATAGGGATTTAGAAATCTATGAAATCAAAGGTAAGGGGTTTACTGGGGCGATGGTTGGGCGGAGCAAAGACATCAATAGCAGTAGTTTCTGGCAATGCGGCAGGGAAGGGAGGAAGAGGACTCTGGAAGTGAGCTTTGTGGATGCGCTGGCCATGGATTATTTGGGGGTGGTAGAGAGAGAAAGCTTTGAGCCAAGAAATGTGAGAACAAAGAGAAGAGAGAGAGAGGGAAAACCGTTTCTCACCAATTGAGTATTGGGTAGTTGATTATGGAAGAAAGTGGAAAACATGGGATGTGTTTTTTTTTTTTTTTCAAATCACTTAAATTCCACGTGGCAGTACATGATAGAGGCTTCAAGAGACCAAACACTAGAATGTGAGTCCCAATAATTAAGAATTTCAATCTTTTGCTATAATCTGCCCAATAAGACAGGCCACTAATGTTTGAGCTATTCTCAACTACACCAAATACATTGAACTAATCTCAATTCAAGTCCAAGACATACAAATACATTGAACTAATCTACTTTAACCATTTAAAGTTGAGTTTGGATCTTGAAATTATGAAGAGGAAAGGAAAAAAATGGAAAAAAAAATGATAATGACAACAATGATGGAGATAAAGCATTCACCAAGTCAGGTCTCAATTTCCAAACCTATGTATTTCTTACATGTAGTAAGAATGTAGCACATTCATGTCATCATGCATTTATAAGTTCTAGACAGAAAAAAAAAAAAAATGAGTGGTCATCATCAAGGAATTATGTAAAAGTCTGTAACAGACAGCATCTTAATACCCTATCAACTAAAAAGTCAGCAAATGGAATAGAGCAAAATGAATATCACAAAGAAATAAATAAGTCAGCTGTGTGCAAACACAATGATCCAAACGGACATAGTAAATTATAGAAAATGTGACTGAATTTTAAGTGGGGGGCGGGGAATGACCTTCTAAAGTGTTCGATAGATTTCTGTAAAATCACCAGGAGCTATCCTTTTTGTGGATGCTAGCTTAGTTAGCTCAGCAATGGCCTCCTTTCACTTTGACCACTTGGCAGCTTTCTAATACATAAAAAATGGCAAAATAATTCTAAAAAACACTAATAAATTGGATTTTCCTCACATTAATCAGAAAGCACAATTACAAACTAGAAGTACAGCAAATATAAAATTTAAAAGCCAGTGAATAACATGAAAAAAAGATTGAGAGGACTTACCACTCCATCCCAAAATCCTGTCTTCCCTAAAGGAGTCAATATATCAACACAATCAACAAGTTCATACTCGTCAATTTCCTGAGGAGCTGACAAACAACATGGATATCAGGTCCAAGCATTCAATTGAAAAAAATTAATACAGAAATACTTCTAAAAAAATTAAAACAAGCCTTCAATGTCGAAATTCAGTACTATTTCTTTCAACTTCATTTCATCCATCAAACTAATGTGGATGTTAATCGATGTAAAAAACTAAGCAATCGACATACCAGCTTGATTGGAAGATCAGGATCTGAAATGGAAAGTGTTAAATCTTCATTCTATTCTGGATTGATATACTTCCTTATAACATGAGTCTTTAGTTTCTGCAACAAATTGAATATATCAACATCCATGTAATATTTGAAAATTAGGTAACAAAAGTATACACATTACAAAGAAAAAATATCACATAAAAACGATTTAAACTTCCATATAAAAAACAATGCTATAACAACTTACATAATGCATGCAACTTCAATAACAGAAATAAAACACACACACACACACCCAAAAAAAAAAACCATCATCAAACAATTTTAGCCATATGATCTTGTACATAACGATTTCACGGTCAAAATACATTCAAGAAGTTTCAAAAACCTGTTTGATAAAATAAAAAAACAAATTGAAATTCTTCAGATCAAACTGAGTTTTTAAGATTAACTGGATTTGGGAAAAATCTATACAATACTTGGTCCTGATTTTTGAAAAAAATAAATAAATGAATAATGACATATATTAGAATGTCTGTAAATAACCGCACATTTACTTACAGCAGCAAAACTCAACCCCATATAAAAAACTTGTGTAATTAATTTTTCCCAAAATATAAAAAGAATCTAATTAAGCAAACTCCAAACCAACAAACCTACCAAAAAAGAAAAAGAAAATAATCCAAACCCACACAACCCTTCATCTCTTGCACTTGTTAGTTATAAGTCACTCCTTACCACTACCATAAATAAACCCTGAAGTTTCAAACGCTATACCTCTCAAATGAATTGTCTTCATAGCACATGTTCCCAATTTGCACTATATTCTGCGTTCCATTGAAATTTGCAAAACTGTCTAGCATTGATGGATTAATACCAATTATGGTTCCTCCCTCAGCTTCTCTTATGTCCAGTCTCTTATATATGTCACACACCAAGGACTAGTTAGATTATTCATAAGATTCAACTTTTAAGCAAGTTTTGAATACCTTGATGCATAAATAACACAACTGTTGAATTCATTTCAACCAGGTAACTATATATATGGTTTTCATGATTTTTCTTGCATGATCGTATAAATATAAGTCTGAAATGGAAATCATACAAAATTATTTGGGCCATTCATTTATATAACACCCAATTCTGATACATCAAGAAACAGTTAAAAGTAATCACACACATGAATACAATATTTACATATTTCACCTTGAAACTAAGACTACGCAACGATATTGCATGACCAGAAAAGTTACAAGAGATATAAGATAGTCACCTCCCCTCAACTACAAATACATAGAAATTAAAGCAACAAATTGCAAAATTACCAAAAAAGACATTATTAGATTTCAAACTACCCAACAAAAATCTGCAAAACTCAATTACCAACAAAAACAAACACACACAAAAAAAGAGACAATTTATAGGAACAATTATATGAACCCGCAGTCACATAAATCTAGTCCATGTGAGCTACTGCAGAGACAATTTGTAGAAAACAAATATGATGCAACAATATGATTAACCAAACATATGAGCAAAAAGGAAAAGAAAAAAAAAACAATATCAATGACCATAGATGAGAAAAAGTGGCCATACAAGAAAATTAAAAAATTGTAAAATAGAAAAGAAAATATATTTTCCTAATGAAAATAGCCGAAGAGCATCGCCAAAAACAACACAAGCTCAAATCCTAATGAAAACTACTCTATGAAATGTCAACAAATTAGCCAGTAAATTGAGAAAATAAATCAAGACAAGTTATTCTTAAGTAGAATTAAAAATTATTCTTAAGCATCTAAAACTTCCCAATGTCACAAGTTTAATAAAAATTTTAAAGCAAACTAATTTATTAACATTCATAGCAAGTCTTTGTAGCAAAAGTTCACCAGCTCTAGAAGGCAAGCAACAAGGAATCAGAAACCCAAATGTACCACTTTAGCTTGCATGTTTGGAGCCTGAAGTCCCCTGGGGGAATAATTACACAGATCTTTGCAGTATTAGAACCACAGGTGCCTACAGCAGTTTATTCAACCATGCCATAGCCCTACAAGCCAAAAAAATAAAACAATTTATGACACCCCCCCCCCCCCAAAAAATAAATAAATTGTGAACTAAGAAAAAAGATGAAATACTCATGTTTCAATTGGTTTCCAAGGAAAAACATGGAAGTGATTGAAATTTAGAATCTCATATTATCTCCTTTTTGGACTTGTGTATATAGTAAAACAGGGGTAAGAGTAAGATATTTTGTAATGACACCATGTTCAAAGCATGAGGTGAAAATGTCTTCGAATGAAGTGTATTCATAAGCATTTTAAGTCAATGGAACAATTCAATTTTATTGTAAAAAAAACCCAAGAAGAGCATGAAGTGAAGAGTTTCTCAGCAAACATCATAGGAATAAATAGTCTAGCCCAAGGATATACATTTGGTCATCATAAACAAAAGAAATGGAATTAATTGACAAATAATTGTTCTCCTCTAAAAAAAATCCTTTCAACTATGAAGGAACAAAATGAATTTTTGCCAATTTGGGAGAAACCCTAATTTTAGAAATTTCTCTATATTTTGTGGCCCCGTTGTGTCATATTGAAGAACCCATAGAAAGACTGAAGAACCAGACGAAACATTAAAATTCTACTTTCCAGTCATCCTAATAAACCATTTCATAAGTCTTTGAAGTTGAAGAAACCCATCAACTTGAAATACTAAAAACTGCATAAAGAAAGTGTACTAACTAAAAACATATTTTATTGCTATCTACTATAGAGCTAGTGGGCAGAAGTTACATGGGGTTTCCTTGCTACTTCAAACCCCATCTGAAAGCCGAAGTGTGACAGAAAGAATAAATTTAGAGTTTAGCAAAAACAACATCATAAAGAACCAGACATGGACGATTGAGCAAATTTGGCCAAACAATCTGGTTGAGGAGATGTGGTGGTGAGATTTGACACCAATAGACAGAGATCTGAAATCGTGAGATTTTTGGCGTTTCTACAACTCTGATTGCCGAGAAATAGGTGAGATCTTTCATCATCCGTGTAATCTGAAGGGCAATCGCTATGAACGGAGATCTGAGGAGCAGTTTGTGCACCCAAAAAAAAAAAAAGCGTTTGTGCCAAAGAAGATATAAGAATGAGGAGGGAGAGAGAGAGAGGGAGAGGGATAGAAGACATACCTCTGCCGTGAGAATGAGAGAGAGGCAAGAGAACATGGAGCTTCAATTTTTTCTTTATAAAAATAAAATTTTAAAAATATATATATATATATAATTACAAGTTAATTAAAAAATGTGATTAAAAAAAATATAATCACATTTAATTAAAAAGTGACGTAAAAAATAAATACTATCACACTTAACTAAATTAGGTGTGATTAAAATATTAATTTGATTTTTTTAATCATATTTTTATTAAAAGTGTCATGTTTTAATTTTTTTTAGGCGTAATCTTTAAGCATTTTGTAGTAGTGAATATTTAGGGCAAGATAACCACAAAAAAAAAACAACAACAATAAAAACAATATATATATATATATATATATTGAAAAAATTAAAACTAATTTGAGAAGTATGAAAATCAAAAATATATTTGTTAAATTTTATAAATTATTTATGACTTCACAAAAGATAAAATTATACAAAAATAATAAGTATTTTTTTCATTTTTTCACCAAACTTTTTTTTAGTTTTTTAGAAAAAAAAATTCTGAAGCAAGTTTTTGAAAATAAAACCAAACATATTGAAATTAATAATCTAACCACATTCTTTGGAAAAGTTTAAATTATTTCAAATTAGCCATCTAAACTTAAGAGTGTGTTTGAGCTTGATGGATTTATTTTGTGATCTAATTTGATGATCACTTTAATTTTACAATTCAATAACTAGAATCTTTAAAACTCCTTGGAAAGTTATAATAAAAACACAAACTAATCACCTCATTTCACTAGCAAAACTTTTACCAACGAATAGTGTTATCGTTGCTAAATGTTTAACTCTTTGCCCACCCCAACTTATCGTTGCCAAAAGTAAGCACACTAATGTAGACACCCCATTTTTGACCGTCCTCAAGACTTGGACGTCACCGTTTGAACACTCACTGATCATCCTTGTTTGTGTTCGTCTTGAGTTCCCGGAGGTCTCAGCTACGCGCCTCGCCTCAGGATCTCTCGACTCGACTGTTCTGTGTTTGGGTTTGCACCAATCACTTGTGTTTTTTGCTTTGGAGGGCACGGAATGGCTTGTTGGCCATCCCCGCACTCCACCGGCCATGGCCTGAGGCCACCGGCAGTGTTTTGTTGCCATCGGCCAAATGTTTGGCCGACTGGCAGTCTGGATGGTTGACCGGCCATCTATTTTGGTCGAATTGCATTTTTGACTGGCCGACCACTGTTCATCTGCTTTTGCAGATATTTTTTTGCTAGCTGTGCTAGCTGGCATACACTCTGCTCCCCTCCATACACGTGTATGGAGGGATTTCCCTCTTGACTAGCTTACTTTGGAAGCTTTGCAAGAGGGATTGTCTATAAGAGGAAGCCTCTTCTCCCTCCATTAGGGTTACACACAAAAAAGTCCAAAAAAGAGCTCTGAGATTAGGGTTTGAGTTTGCATCTATTCCATCTCTATATCTCTCTCTCTTTTTGCCTTGTGTGTGTGTTTAGTCTTACTATTGCACACAAACACCTAGTCCTACACCTTCTCTTGGTTGCTGAGGAACCAGAAGGTTGTTCTTGGTGTTTTTGGGTGGTTTTGAGCTTGAGGAAGCTGCTGGTCTTCCATTTTTTAAGAGGGTCTACAAGGGTAACAATCTTACCAATTTTTTTCCATTTTTGCATAGTTTTTTCACCTATCTTGCAACTATTTTTAAACTTTGTGTATAAAATATAAAAGTCTTGTTTTTCCATGCTCTAAATAGTTGTTTAAGAGTGTTTTGAGCTTTGGGGTTGTTTGACCCCTCTTAGGCCTTGTTTGGCCCCCATTTTGTGCCATTTTGGTGAGCTCCGGGACCACCTTGTTTGGACCTCCTCACCACTAAAATCTTGAGGGATTTCAGTGGTGAGGATGGTGGTTTAAGGTCCCAAGAAGGAGAGGGCCACCCTCTCTCCTTGTTGTCTTCAATAATGGTCATTTAAGCCTCATTAGTGAGCACCTTGTTTAAGTGTATATTGGTCATGCCTTAACTGTTTTTCACGCTTATGTTGCCATGATATAGCATGGTTGTGAGTTGGTTTAGGTACACCATGCTTTCTTAGCATGCATGTCCTGTAATGCCATGAATTGCCTTAACATGCCTTGTGCTTTGAGCCTTGTTTCTAGCATGCTTTTGGCTTAGCTTTGTGAAGATTTTGTGCTCATTTTAGCATGCTTAAGCACTGTTTTTGGTTTTTTTGGTCGACCATGACATGCTTAGTATAGCCACCTTGTATTTTGGTTTGTAGGCCTTGGGTGTGTGAGTGTGGAGCATGCATTGCTTGCATCATTTCACTGGTTTGGAACCGCTTAGCATGTCATTTCAGTCCTCATGGCATGCTTGTATGCTTGCGTTTGATGTCCCTTCAATGCTTTATAAGGTTGTCATCTTATGCTCCATGTTTGGCCTTTTTTGTATGCTTGCATGTTTAGACCATTTAGATGCCATCTAGATGTGTTCTTTTGGCTTTGTTTTAACATGCTAAGACTCTGATTTTGGTTGTTTAAATCCTACCATGTTTGGTTTTACCAAGTGTAGCTGAATACCCTTTTAGCTTGCCTTGAGTTTTGGCCATGCTTGCATGCTTTGCTTGTGTTGATTGGTCGGTTTGGCACCTCTTTTCCATGCAATTTCAGAGCTTATAATGCATGCCATTGGTCCATGTTTATTCTCTTTTAAGTGTGCTTAAAAGTTGTCTCTACGTGCCTAAGTGTTGGACCTTGCATGCAGCATATTGGCCACTGTTTTGGGCTTAGTATAGAGCTGCCCAAATTAGTTTAAGTCCATAGTTCGCATGTTGTTGCATGCTCACCTTGTGTTTTGTTGCATACTTGTGTGTTGTCACATGTTTAGGTTGTCTGACATGTTTGCTCCATGTGTCGTGGCATGATTGAATGAAGTCACATGCTTGCTTGCATGCTTGAACATCCCCATTGTATTTGGCATACTTATTGGTTAGCATGATCGTCACATGTCTTGTATGCTTGTTCGCATTATAGCTCATACGTCTAGGTTGCGTGGCATTTACATGCATGCTTAGCCTCTTGAATTGAGTATGACAGAGGTTGAGCTCCTTGCTTGTTTATGTGCATTTCATTTGAAATCAAAGTGCATAACTTGGTTTCTTGGGCCATCACGCATCGAAATGCGCGATTGGTGGTCCGAGAACCGAGAACCATGTCCATTTGAGTCATAAACATGATAAGGGATGTGTTGGTGCACACATTTGCTTGGAATGCATTGCCATGCCTTGTTTTGCCCTCAGCTGCTGTCAAAACAGGATTCTGCAGGAAGATTTGGCCGGCCGGCCATCTTTAGTGCCGACTGACCAAAAATTGGTGGCCGATAGCTTAACTAGTGGCCGATGATCATTTCCTTTGGCCGGTGACCATTTTCCCTGGGCCGGTGATATCCCACAGGGTTCATAGAGTGCACCTTGGGAATTTTACAATGATCAGAGAAGGAAAACAGTGTGGACAGAGGCAACTTGTGCATGGCAGTGGACTTCCGAGCAGAGCCGAGCACGCATTGCATTGGGCCCTCTTCCCGAGGCTGTTTACTGTTTTATTAGATTAGTTAATTTGCTTAACTAGTTTAATTGGTCTGTAATATTTAATTAGCTTGTAGGTTAGTTAAATCTGTATTATTCTTTCAGTCCCTCCGAGCGAGGGCAAATTTGTAATAAGTGTGGGTGCGTGTGTGCATGTCTTCCGACCCCGACTTCTTTCTCCCTTTTACTTACCTACTTTGATGGTTAGTACTAGGACATATTCAATTTGGCATCCTTATGCTATGCATGCGTCCATCATTCGTTAGTATTGCATGCATCGGGCTCGGCGCACCATACTAACTGTATAGTATTTCAAATCTAAACTTGAATATGTGCATCAAATGGTTGCATTTCACATGCCATCCTAGGATTAGCCGAGCCTATCCTAATTGCATTCTGTATGCGCTGCATTAGGCACTTAACATGGACTTGGATCATACATTGATTGCTAACGAGTTCTTTGTTTTGGCTTGGAGTACACTGTAAGTATTTTGTGCTTTAGCATCTCGCACGAGTGTGAATGTTAACATGACAGCATGCTTACCATGTGGCTAGATGCTTATGTGACATGAACTGCCTGAATGCCTGTGGGTGAAGGTTGGATTGCTTGAGTTGGAACAACTCATCAAAATCCGTGTTTTAGCCTACTCGCGAGTAGCAAATTTCAAAACATTTTCCAAACAAACGGATATGCGATGCTTTGTTCCAAATTAGGCGATCTAGTCTATACTTGTTTTGCTGTACGCATCACATAGTAATTCTAGCTAATTAAACCAGAATAAGAACACATAACGTTTTCAAATTAGATATCATGGTCAGTAGAGGCCGATCTTCAGATCGGGCGAGAGGGGGTGCTCATAGCTGACCTTCCCCAATTGTACCCAAGTTCCCGAGCCGAGACAACTTTGGTAATGACAGACACGTGGCCTTAGGCAAACGAGTAAGGGTTTCCTAAATTCTCCCATTAAAAAATATTTAGGTGGTGACTCTGTATCTAGCAAAGTAGTCCATGTTTCAGATTAAGAACCGTGACACAAAATGGAGTCCGAACTGTGGTGGCATAAAGCCCGAGGGCACGTCTACAGTTTCTGGCGACTCTGCTGGGGATTATAGAGAACTTGACTCGAACTCATGATATCTTGTTTTGATTACACTTATGTGTTTCTTTGCATTGCATGTGCATTGGTGCGCCTAGGACACCGTATTGGCCATCTGCTATTCATGAACGGTTTGCTGGAGGCTTGCCTTGTCAAGGCATGACCATAAGGCTGACCGGTTGCGGGCTCTGCCAATATGGGAACACAAACCCCGGTTTTTACCAGGGCACCCTTTTAACCATTCGACCTAGTGCATATTCAGAATCCGTAGTGACCATTCCAATCTAGGACAGGTTGCTATCCAATTATAGATTGTTTAAAACTGCTGCGTGCATAG